TGATAAATGACGGTTTCATGAAGATAATAACGAAAATTTGAATTATTCAAATTTTTGTATTTCATTTTTTCTTCAATTTTTAGCGAAAGCATTTTTTTTATCTGAAAAAAAGTTTGTTAAATCACCTCAAAATTAATATCAATGAATCAAATTATCTTCGAAATTTCAACATCTCTTTCTTAAAATTAAATTCACATTTTTATATACATTTCATATAATGAATGCATTTACATTTTTATTCCATTTCAGTGTAATTTTCTGATGATATTTACGCTTGCATTATATTTGCAATTTATTGCTTTACTTTGCATTTTATAAGATTTGAAATGATAACAAAAAAACTTGAAACGACTTCTGTAAAAGTTGAAGAAATTTTGAAATAAATAAACTGTAATGTTCGACTCCTGCGAAATAATCCGGGATATATCACGGAATAATTACGGGACATTTCTTGATTTTGTTGCCTTATAAAATGTGAAAGTTGGAATGATTTAAATTAGGAGAAATTTTTAAAAGAGATTATATTTCAAAAATTTTTAGTAACCTACATACAAAAAAGTGACAAAGTTTAAAACATTTGAAACCGAAAATGAAATGAATGATTTGTAGCACAGATAATGCAATTTGAGGGATGGAATTGAGGTGGAAAATGTATACAAAGATTGAATAATTTCTGAATTATTTCCTTAATTAATTTAGATTTGATAATGAATATCAAAAAAGTTCAGAAAAAGGATTTCCACTTTCTCTCCATAATTTTTTTCTTTCTTCGGGAAGAGAAATGGAACTCGAAGATTTACAAGTGAAGTAAATTTATACTTTAATTTAATGAAGAAGAATGTTACTGCTTACTTTATAATTTATTTTACTGCGAATGATTATTTGTGGCATTTCAACTTTCAATTTTTACTTTGAGTTAGCCCAATTCTGAAATTAAGATTGCTATCTTTAAAAATTCAACAAAAATTATAAATAATTTATAAAATTCTGAGTATACGGACTGAATACCATTCATTTTAATGCAATCTTGAAATTCAGGAATTTTTTAATTGAGTAGTATTGATGTTTTATTAATTCGGCATTTATTTTCGCATGATTAGTTTTCGGCGAGCAAAAATAATATTTTTTATGTGTATATTTCAAAAGAAACAAGATTTGATGGTAAATTTTCTGCAATAAATATTTTAGCAGTTTGAGTTTACAAATTTAATAAAAATTTCTTCTGTGCCAAAATTACATCTAAACAAGTTAAAAGTATCGGCCAGGTCAAATGACCATAAAAAAATAAATTTTGAAAAATTGTTGCTAAAAAATCATAGCAAACAAATCTTTTTAATTAGCTACAGGTTTGATTTGAATGAATAATAAAAGCAATTATTATTAGTGCTATCACTATCATTTGTAAAATGAAACAATTTAAATAAATTTATTCTTTTTCAACACTCTTAAAACTTTTAGAAATAAAATAACAAACAATTCAAATTATTCAAAGTTTCTCTTTTCTTTCATGTTGGAAAAGAACAAAAGTTTTTAAATTTAACAGAAAAATCTTATACAAAATAAGAATTAATTTTGAATAAAATTGATAAATTACTACCAAAAATTACTCCATTTTTAAGAATAAAAATTCATAGAAATAAATTTTTCTATTTAACGGGAACAGTTTATATGAAATAATAAATTTTACATTGATTGCTATCCAGTTTTTTTGTACGTTAAAAAAATGGAATAAAAAGGTGAGATCACATTGCTCTAAATTTTTGATTAAAATGTGACCTCACTTCATGTACCATCTATCATTTTTCTATTTTAAAAATTTCTTCAATGCAAAATAACTGAACAGTAATAGAACTTATGAAGAGTCAAAATTACACGGTAAAGGTTAGTTTAATTACTTTAACGCCAAGTTCAATTCTTTTTTGCATTTAAATATTAATTATTTTAATCAATTAATGTTCATTGAATTCATAGCAATTATGCAAAAAAAGCGAATAATTGTTTAGTGCTAACAAAAAATGATTTGAAAAAGAAAATGAAATAAAAATAATTGCTAACATTTGGTGATAGGCGATAATCATTCAATGATTGATTTTTTTCAAGCATTTATCTGCTTACTTTTCTTCACAAGAAAGAAATTTTTGATAAATTAATGTTAGCAAAGTGAAATAAGGAGGAGATTTCGGTTTCACTTTCAAATCACTTCTTATCCTTCTTTTATTGTTAATAAATTCAAAATGAATAGAATCAAAAAAAGAACATTAAAAAAATTTAAATTAAAAAACTTCAGGATTATAAAAATGCGATAATTTTTCCATTTTATCTTATTTCTTCCTGTTCTATTTTCGAAACTTTTTAAATTCCATTCATGTTTCTATTGATCCTATTATCCTAACAAGATGAATTCGCCAGAAGTTCGCATCAAGAACGATCAGTTAGCAAAAATTTCAACCTTTGATCCAAATATCGGAATTCCTTTCACTTTTCAAATTTCATCAATTTGCTTTTCACCAAACAAAATGCATTTTCAAAAACACACTAATTTAATAGCAGAAAAACGATGGAAATATTGGTGTAAAAAAACTGTAAAGCATTAAAATTTTTTTTAACAAAAATTTTGTACCGATATATCAAAATTTAATTGTAATATTTTAATTTTCTGTATGCAAAAAGCTATTGTATTTTGTATTTTAATTGAGCAGCAGTGAATAACAACCATTATCTCTTTTTACTTTCTGTGGGAATTTCATGGAATTATTGAACTATAAAATTACAATCATTGAAAAAGAACCCATGCATAGTGAAAGGGCGCGATAAATCTCCAAATGAACCTGAAATTGAATTAATTGAATTAGTAAAATTGAATTAGCTACATTTGAAAATTCAGTTTCAATGCTGATCATACAACGAACTGCCACATGAATTGGCTACATGAATTACATGAAAAAGAAAATGTAAAAAAAATATATTAAAGATTTGACAAAAAATTGCGAAAAAAATTGACCATTCAGGATTTCTAATAAATTATCCATCAAAATAAATTAAAAATTTGATTCAAGATTACACTAGATCTGGTTGAAATTAATGGGAATTACGTTGTTCGGATAACAGTTTGATCATAGAATTTTTTTTTTTTCAAAATATGTACGATTGGCAGTAATATAATTAAATTAAATTTAAAAAAACAACGAGAAATTCCATGTAATTTCTCAAAATATTTTTAGTGCCATAATTGGATTTCATATACTTTCCTAAAATTTGAACTTTTTTAATTTTAAATCAGAAATCAAAGTATTTTCAAAATATTTGCAAGTAATTTTATTCTATTTCAGAATATATGTTTACAAAGGAATTAAATGCATTGTAATGAATGTTAGATATGATAAACGAAGGTGAATGAGGAAGTGAAAAGAAAAATTGCCCTTTGAACTGATTGATATCATCGAGATACTTCCGCTTGTAGTTCAGCAATTTCGCATCGAAAGCAACATCACACGCATATCTCAAAAAGGGGCACTTCACGATATATACTTTCTAACCACTCAAATGATAAGCTTATCAATAGCTTAAAACCAGCAAACAGTAATTCTCTTACACAGCTGTCTAAAATTTATCAAATGATTGACGATAGTTTACTATTGAGCAAACAAATTTTTTATTAAAATGTGTAGAGGAAATTATTTGTAGATTATTTAGACTGATAATTATTGGAAGATAAGTTGGAATAGTTAAAAATCAATTAGCAAAAAATGTCTGTCAAAATTTTTGTGCAGTTGCTAAGTACAGATGATAAAAAATAAGTCATCGTTATGTTGTTTAATTTTAAAGTGTTTTCTGTCAAAATATTTATTACAGTGATAAATTTAAAATAGATTTTTAAAAAAAATAAAAAAATAGACTGACAACATCCTCTTGTTTTAATGAGGAATTAACAAACTTTGACATTTGAAATTAAACAAAGAAAAATTTAATAAAATTCATTATTTGTCTAGATGCCAAAAATATTCAGCTTATGAATTCATTCCCATTGTTTGTCTTTAGTTTTGAAAAGTTCTTTTAGTTACAAAAATTATTATTTTAACTGAAATTTGAAATCATTTATTCGGAAAAATGATGAACATTTATTTAAAAAACTTCTGCTATTGACTAATCTTCGACAAATTGATTCGTGAGGTCTTTTCAGGTTTAAATTTACAAAAAGAACGATCGATCAAATAATATATGATTTGTTCATCAAATTCAAATTTACTATAACTAAAACATTGTGCCACAAATACCTGATAAACGAGTGAAAGATGTGAAATTAGAAATTACCATCATGCTATTAATGTATAAATGTTATAATAAATTAAATAGCAACGATAAGGAAAAGTAAATGGCATAGTATGGTTATATGACTCGATCATTAAATTTAACTGTGCTATAAGTAAAATTTTTTTTGAAAAAAGAAGCTGAAGCTGAACAGCAGACTTCGCTTTTATGATAAATAACCAATCCTTAGCTTTACAAGCCAAATCTTTCAGTGAATTTTTTTTCTTTTCATTTTTCTTCTTCAGTGCAACAAAACTCTTTAAATGAAAATGCGGCGTTGTGGTGATAGTGGTGATATTTCAGCTAATGCTGTTTAGCACACATACTTAGTTACTTGCTTTTGCTAAAACTAATGAATTTTCTTCTTTCTTGTTATTTATTCAATTTTATATTGATTTTTTTTTGTCTTTTTTTAAATCAGCTTTGATATTTGTTTATATTTTTGTTATGGGCAAAGAAAGATTTGTTGTAAGTTAAGAATTTGAACTTGAAAAATACAATCGTACTTTAGCGTTATTCAAATTTCAAATAATTTTTAACATTGAAAGTGAAACAAAAATCGTTTGTAAATTGCAGATGGTTAAGTCAACCTAAAAAACCATTTCAAACTTGTAGCTGCTTTATTCTACAAATACAACACTGCTTTTTTTACTATTTTTTCTTTGTCGATCGTAAAGTCGAAAAAAAAAACGATGCCTCGAACAGCTGATCATATTGCGAGCCATTTAAATTTATTTACTGATCGTCACGAACCAACTGGAAGTCACTTATATTTTTATCAACCGAGGTCTGTTAAGAATATTATATTGTCAACATGAATTTTCAAAAATTAGAAAACAACAATTTATTTATTGCTTTGTGAAGAGTAAAATATTCCCAATAAATTTAAAAAATTAATTGATGCTTTGAATGAAGTGATAAATTGAATCCGTAAGAGGTAAAATTAAATCTATTCATGGTCCTCTTGAGAATGGAATAGCAAATGAAATATAAAATATGACGATCAATCAGCTTATCAGAAAAAATTGATAATACGATTTATTTAAAGAGGAATTTCAAGTTTCTTTAAGGCAAAGAAATTCGAACGGGAGTGAAAATTTCGATGCCATTCGAAAATCCGGCACCATTCTATCAGTTATTTCAACGGAAGATGTTCGTGATGAGCCTGTACTCCTTACTATCATTGAAAATGCTAATATGGATGGAGTTAAACATTTACAGACAAATGATGCTTTTTCAAAGTTTGTCTCCTTTAATTTTATAATTCATTATTTACATCTCTTCTAACATGAGAGAAGAAAAAAATCAATCGATAACATTCTATCACAAAACAGAAGAATTAATTGGAAGATAATAGATTTCTCGGAATTATTTAATGACTGAATATTTTTATATTCATGTTAATTTTCAGGTATTTTTGGGCAGCGATAATTGTCATATTTGTATTGTTAGCATGTTTTCAAAGTTTTAAACAAATCAATATGTATTTAACCACTCCCGTAGCAACAAATATCGAAGCAGCTTATCCCAAACAAATACCATTTCCTGTTGTTGCTATTTGCAATAATAATCAATACAGATAAATATAATTAATTATTAATTTCATTCATTAAAACTTTGTGTTTACATAAAAGTTTGAAAAGAATTCTGAAATAGTTTTTGGAAAATATGATTGAAATTAAGCACTCTAAAATAATCAACAAGAAAACGAATTAAATTTGTAAAAATTTTTTATAAATAGAAGGTTTATAAATATAAGATTTCATATTATATCAAAGATCCAAGAAAAAAAATAATCTAGCTGGTTAGTGAAGAGCTATGTAATTGATAATCAGATGTTTTTATTTGGATTTTAGATTAACCTATTTGACGGGTCCAGCAATCCAAAATCGTAAGCCAAAAGAGCCAAAAAATAACAATACGTTATCGAACGAAATGAATTTAACAGTATTTGATAAGGTATTAGAAAATGCTTGGGATATGGATGCTGTAAAATTTCTCAGGAATGCGGCGCATTGGAAGTCCCGAATGATACTGAGGTGAAGAAAACAATTTTTTAATAGTAACAATTTACAGATTTAAAGTTTTTTGTTTTTTTTTTCTAGTACAGAAAACTTCATTTCTAATTTCTCCACATATTCTGCTATAAATTGTGCACATTTTTGCATTTCAAAAATTTTTCCAATTGTTTTTGTGCTATTTTGATACAAAAATTCGATATGATATTAGCTGCACTTGGCCAAACGGTACCAGTTGTCGATTGTCAAATTTTAAAGCAGTTTGGACACTTACGGGTCTTTGCTGGGCTATAAACACGGATCCAAATAATTTGCATTATATATCTTCAAGTGGTAAAATTTTATTAAAACAAAATTTAATTTTAAAATGAAGCATATAGTTTCCAAAAT